TAGTCCCAGTTACTTGGGAGGCTGAGGCAAGAGAATCACTTGAGCCCAAGAGTTTGAGGTTGCTGTGAGCTATGATTCCATAGCACTCTACTGAGGGCAACAAAGTGAGAATCTGTCTAAAAAAAATACGTTATATATTTTATATATATACATATATATAAATTTAAAAAAGATATCTACTCGTGTTAAGTTGTAATAGGCATACTATTACTTTTTTTTATTTTTTTTAAGACAGAATCTCACTATGTTGCCCTTGGTGGAGTGCTATGGTTTCGCAGCTCAGGTGCAGTGGCTAACACCTGTAATCCTAGCACTCTGGGAAGCCAAGGTGGGTGGATTCTGAGCTCCAGACCAGTCTGAGCAAAAGTGATACCCCCATCTCTACTAAAACTAGAAAAACTTGGCTCAGCACCTGTAGCTCAAGCAGCTAAAGTGCCAGCCACATACACCAGAGCTTGTGAGTTCAAATCCACCCCAGGCCTGCCAAACAACACTGATGGATGCAACCAAAAAAAAAAAAAAAATAGCTGGGCACTGTGGCAGGCACCTGTAGTGCCAGCTACTTGGGAGGCTGAGGCAAGAGAATCACTTAAACCCAGGAGTTGGAGATTGCTTTGAGCTGTGATGCTACAGCACTCTACCCAGGGCCACAGCTTGAGGCTCTGTCTCAAAAAATAAATAAATAAATAAATAAAATAAAACTAGAAAAACTAGATGGGTGTCATGGTGGGTACATATAGTCCTAGCTACTTGGGAGGCTGAGGCAAGAGGATCACTTGAGCCCAAGAGATAGAGGTTGCTGTGAGCTATGTTGATGCCACAGCACTCTCCCCAGGGTGACAGAGTAAGACTCTATCTCACAAAACAAAACAAAAGACAAAGAAAGACTATAGAAATGTTCAGATTAAGGGATACTAAAGAGACATAATAGCTAAAGACAGTGCTTGATCTTAGACTGGATCTTGTGCTAGAGAAGAGGACAAACCATAATGGACATTTATGAGTCGATTAAAAAAGTTGAGTACAGGCCAGGAATCATGGCTCGTGCCTGTAATCCTAGCATTCTGGGAGGCCAAGGCAAGTAGATTGCTTGAGCTCACAGGTCCAAGACCACTCTGAGCCAGAGAAAGATCTTATCTCTAAAAATAGCCAGGCATTGTGGCAGGCACCTGTAGTACCAGCTACTTGGGAGGCTGAGGCAAGAGAACAGCTTGAGCCCAAGAGTTTGAAGTTACTGTGAGCTATGACGCCACAGCACTCTACTGAGGGCGACAAAAAAATTTAAAAAATGAGTACAGACAGTAGATTATTATAAAGCATTATAGCAATGTTAAATTGGCTGAAGTTGATAAATGTTTTGTGTTTAGATAATAGGATATCCTTATTCTGAGGAAATATATAAAAGGTCATTACTCCCAGATAATTCAGGAAAAAAGAATTCTCTCTGTGTGTGGGTATATATAGAGAGAGAGACAGGAAGACAGTGAAAACGATAAAGCAAATTGGATAAAATGTTAAAACAGTAGGTGAATCTATGAAAAGGAAATACAGATAATTTTTGTACTATTTATATTTTTCAATTTATCCATAGATTTGAAATTATTTCCAAGTAAAAGTGCTGTTTTCTTTAACAATTCTGGTCTTCAAAAGGCACATATAAGATAATGAACAGACAAATCTTAGCCTAAGGAGAAAATGTTCACAATTCACATTTCTGACAAAGGAATTATATATAAACAACTCCCATATAAAAATAAAAAAGACAAACCCAATTTTAAAAATGGGCTACAACTTGGACAGGCACTTCATGAAGGAAGATATAACAAATAACTAATAAACATATGAAAAAATCCTACACATCATTATGTGTCAAAGAAATATAAATTAGGCCAGGTGTAGTGGCACATGCCTATAATCCTAACACTCTTGGAGGCCAAGGTGGGAGGATTGCTTGAGGTCAGGAGTTTGAGACCAGCCTGAGCAAGACTGAAACCTCTGTCCCTGTCAAAACTAGGAAAAGTAGCTGGGCATGGTGGTGTGTGCCTGTAGTCCCAGCTACTTGAAAGGCTGAGACTGGAGGATCGCTTGAGTTTGAGATTGTTGTGAGTTATGATGATACTACTACACTCTAGCTGGGGCAACAGAGCAAGACTCTGTTGAAAGGAAAGAGGAAGAAAGGGGAGGGGGGAAAGGATAAAGAAGGGGATAAAAGAAGAAAAAGGGGAGGAAGGAAAGGAAAGGGAAGGGAAAGGAGAAGAAAAGAAAGAAAGGAAGGGAGGGTGAGAGTGGAAAGAGAGAGAAAGAAAAATTAAACCCTCAACGAGATATCATATTACATACATCCAGTAAAATAACTAAAAAGTTCAAGCACCCACTATAATGCCAGCTATTTTTTTTTTAGAAATGAGGGCTTACTGTGGTTCAGGCTGGTCTCAAACTCATGACCTCAGGTAATCCACCTGCCTAGGCCTCCCAGAGTGCTAGGATTACAGGCATGAACCACCACACCTGGCTGAGGATTTTTTTTTAATATCTGCATTATATACTTACTGGTTGAGCATCCCAAATGAAATGCTCTAGTGAACACTTCCTGTAAGTGCCATATTGACACTCAAAAAGTTTCAGATTTTGGAGCATTTTGGATTTTCAGATTAGTGAAACTATGTCTCAAAAAAAAAGAAAAAGAAATAGAGGCTCACAGAGTTTAAATAATTGGGAAGCCCATGCTCTTTCCATACTCCATCCTATCTCTATCCAGAGAGTCAAATTTGTTGCATCCCCTTCCATAGAACCTTCCCTAACTATCTTGGCCCACAATGATTTCTTTCTTCTGAGCTTCTCTAGTGCTCATTACCTATACCACCAATTTTGTACCTCTCTTTGAAATGTTGTTTGACTTATGTATTAATCAGTAAGCATTTATTGAACAGCCACTACAGAACCTCTAGGCAGTAGGAATACACAGATGAATATGGCACAGCCCTTGGACTTAGATGTTAAAATCTCTTGGAATACCTCCATTTCAGCTGTCAGGGATAAAAAAAAAAAAGCTCATACCAATAAGCCTGAAAGTAGTAAAAGCTTTAAGGGAAAGGAGGATTTTAACTAATGAACTACAATAGCAAATACTTCATAAACACCAAAGACAAAACACAGCAGAGGTAACAAAGGATTTAAAATGTAAATTCTCCCAAGGATTAGCACTCTTCCCAGGCTGAGGGACTTTAAGCCAAGCTCTCAGTCCTGTGGGAATACAGAATAGCTAGCTGGTGGTACCGTGACTTCCTCTTAATTAGGCATAGCTTCAGGAAAAAGACTATATCTGTTCTGGCTAGTTATGCTACTAACAACACGTTCCTAAGATAGTCTTCCTGAATGCAATGATAATTTTCTTTTGCAGTTTGGCTGGGCCAGGTACCCACCACCCGCAGTATATGGGCCTGGCACCCTACCCACTAAACCACAGGTGCCGCCCTGATAACTTTCTTTTTATTATTATTTATTTGTTTATTTTATTTCAAAACATTTAGGGGATAGAAGTGATTTTTTGAGACATGGATAAACAACACAGTGGTGAAGTCAGGGCTTGTAGCATACCTATCCCTAGTACCCCCACTCAGATAGTATACATTGTACCTGACAGGTAACTTTTTTTTTTTT